GACGAACGTTTTATTATGTACCAAAACATTATTCAAAAATATCTCTGAACAAACTGAGTTACATATTGCATTTGCTTATTTAATCGATAATCAAATTTGGATAAACTGAAGTTAACAGTTACTTACTTACTTACTCCTGTTGTCTTTCGTGGAAGAGAACAGATCGACCACCAGCATTCTCCATCTAAATCTGTCTTGGACAACCCTATACACCTCTTTCCAGTCGGTATTCATCCTTTTCATGGCTGTTTCCAATTCTAGACTCAGTGTGCTCTTTGGCCTTTCACTTTCCTGTTTCCATGCACGATTCCAAGTTAGCGCTCACCTCGCGATGCAGTTTGGTGTTTTCCGCAATGTATTTCCTATCCAGTTCCAATGTCTTTTCTTAATTTCCTCTTCATCTGGTAGCTGGTTTGTCTCTCCCAAAGTAGGCTGTTACTGATGGTATCCGGTCAACGGATATTGAGTAAGTCGAGTGGACAATTGTTCGTAAACACTTGTCCTTTGTTGATAATGGTTGTGGTAGTTCTTTAAGTTCCAGCTCCGTACAGTAGGACTGTGTTGACGTTCTTATTGAAGATCTTGACTTTGAAATTGGTTGACAGTTGTTTTGAGTTGCATATTGTTGTGATTTTATGCCCAGCTTTTTATCACGTGATTTACCGACCAATCGAAATACGACTTATCTAATCTTAGCACTGTGCCAAATCAATGACGTTCAACCGGTATGAGCAGCCTAGTGTCCTTATTGGTCCCTTATCCACCTAGCCCTTCCAGTTGAGTTCAGAACACCAGTAACAGTTCCTGCTATGCTAATCATTTATTTCAAGCATACTTGGGTTATATACCAGACAAACAGACCGCATCACATCATAAAATAAAAAATAACATTTGTACACGTTCAAGCCAAATGTGGCTGTGAACGTGAGGGACGATAATTAATAAACTGAACTTAATTTGGGAACGGAAAATTGTATAATAATAATTCATAGGTCAAAATGAAGCTTATGGTAAGAGAAATATAGATATACATGGTCAAGTAACTGAACAGTTATACAATAGGAATATATATATATAATATTAGTCCATTAATAGATCTCAGAAGTTACCCGTGATTTAATCTTCACTAGGATATAACACATATGTTCTTTAACTGTAGGAATGTTGTCCTTGGTTTGTCAATCCTCACATTTACGTCTGCATAGGATCGTCCTTGTTCATCGACGATGCTCTCTGTAGCTTGTCTAGGGTCCTGCAGGTCCCAGGCTCAAGTAAAAGAGGAGGGTCAAGCATGTGGTCAGCAACTTTATCCCGTAGAAAACAACCTTGCTGAAAAAAGCGCTTACTAGATAAAACGAACTCAGTCGTAGTTGTTATTAATAAATCAATAACATAGTATCTAAACACAAATATTATAAAATTTAAATGCCATACCCAACAACTATAACTGAATGAATTACTTAATTCAATATTAAGTATGACCTTCCAACCTCTGTTTAATTGGATTCGTCTGCAAACATTTTATGTAAAGGATCAATATGAGAAGTTGGTTGTCCACCTTTGAACCACTTTTCATTTTAATCCACATCGAGAAAGAAAAAAACAACATACAAATACATAAATAAAGAAAAACTTTTAATACACATATTGATCATTTATCCATGTTAAAATGAAAGGATAGATTTATCTTGATTGTGTACAGTATAAATGTTAAAAAACATTTGAATTTTGTTTTGATCAATCATTATTTATTAGCTCTCAGAACAGAGGAAAGTATCAAACTAAAAAAAATTTCCTGAATAATCATTTAAATATGAAATTAAATTGCATGAGAAAAAGTTAATCATTCACTTACTATTTCATTTTTGTATTGGTTGTTTGAATCTTCTCATTAATATTTAGGACTGCAGTTGATCAGTTATAAGTATTAGAAATAGAAATGAATGATGACTAGGAGTGGAATCCAAAATGCGCGCTTTAATTTATGGAGTTAACATCAACTCTTAGATACAGTTAGACTTAGCTAGATTCTCAAATAAGACGAAACGCACATCCTGGATTCCACTGTTAACCGACATCCATCTCTGCTTATAATTCACTTACTAGTTTAAAGTATGGGTGGTATTTTTTTATCTTCTCTTTGAGATGTTTTTAAAACTAGTATGTATTGTATCTAAGGAAATCTTGTAATATGTAATGACTAAGTGGATATCTTTCATTGAGATCACATTAAAACAGTGACAATGTAATGATCTTTCTGCCTTTATGCGAGATGTCTATGAATAAATATTTTACTGTTATTATTTTAACATAATAAGTCTGGCTTAATAATAATTCATTCCTTAAGTTGAATAAGATAGCATTTACATGAAAGACTGTTATTTTAATACTAATATTTGACAAGAGTGCATTTGAAATGAAGTCATTTGTTGACAATATTTGATGCTGCATTTTCACTTACTTCGAAAGAAACTATTTATTATAGGCATAACATTTTTTCATGGTTAGAGATGCTACCATTGAGCTATTCTGGGGAGAGGGGCGAACGACGAATTTAATGCATAATTGAAATATTGATATTGAGTTTTTACTAAATGCTAATCAATTTCCTATTTGTTTAAACAAAACGTGATTCACAATGAATTCTTCAGAAAGCATTATATCCCTAAGATTATAGAATCGCCTTACTGAGGGGTTCCAGATTGTACAAAATCTGGCTTTCTGGTTTCTGTCGACCAGTCAAAACCATATAACATCAAGGAATTCAAGTCGCACCTTTCGTTATATTCAACATTTAGGTTAAATATCATTCAATTGTACACACCGAATAATAGATAGATCCTGTGTTTTACTACTAGCTACAATGCAACTCTATCACAATTCGTAAAAAAAGACTATATCGAGACAATTCACTTAGGTTTTACAGTTGTTTTATCACTAAGTAGTGGCCAATGTTGTGTATGTTAAGTTCCTCTTATTGTTGATAGATTTCTGTCGATCAAGTTGCAACATGGTCGCTAATCTAAGTGATTCGAAATCATGTGCAATATGTTAAAATGCAAAGTATTAGTTAACAGTAGTCTACAGGAAACCCTGAACTTATATTTCATGCTGTTTGGCACTCATCAACAAGATTTATCCTTAATCTTAAGACGGTTAATACTCTCCAATGGATTCGATCTGGTATTACTCAACTTCATTATCAAAGACGCTACCATGACCCTAATAGCTCAGTCATAACATCTCTGACTAAGAAACTGAGTGTCACCGGATAGAATATAACAAGGAGCATCATTTCCCTGAAGATTACAGGTACACCTTTCTAACGAATGCCAAATAACATGAAACCTAGGTTCAGGATTTCTTATTCACTACCTCCAACTACTACTTTAAATGATAACAAAAACCAATTAACTTCAATTTGCTAATCAACAATGGCAAATTCAAAATGATTATTAAATTCAATACGAGACTTAGTGGCCGAGTGGATAACGCGATAGCGTTTGAAGCGAAAGGTACTGGGTTCGAGTCCCATAGTGAACATCAACTCTGAGATGCAGGTACATCCAGCTGACGAGTCCCAAATAGGACGAAACGCATGTCAAACTGGATTCCACTGCCAGCCACTATCCATCTTTCCTTACAATGCTTGTGAATTTAGGCTATATCGAGGCAATACGCACAATATTCACATATGCCAATCAGAGACTAACCAGTCGTAGTCCTAAAAACATAAATGGGAAGATTCAAACAAACAATATTAAGTACATTTCAATACGAGTTTGTTTAAAAATTACACAAACATATCATTGAACTATTGCTGTATCGTTATAATCATTGTACATCATCAAATTAGTATATGCATATATGTGATTAATAATTACCTTTGTTTGCTTGTTCGTTTATTTCGATATTAAGCATAACTATCTATGTATATTAGCTTGTTCATAGTTATACAATTGGATTGTCTGGTCATCATTTAAAAGATGATACTACTTACAATATTTTCTTATTTTCTTGTTTGTTTTTAATCCCCAAAAAGGGAAAAAAAATATAAGCGAATCAAATTACAGACAGGTCATTTTTACATAGATAGTTATACAGACAGGTAAATTAGGTAAAAACCAGTCAGCATCATTTAATATATAAATAAAATAGATTGGTTGTTGAAAATTAGGATTTATCCTTTAATTTCCTTTTTCTTAATTATAAATTTATTTCTTTATTACTCAATTCAAATTAGTATGATTGCCTACTATAATTATCATTTCTGTTACTATCATTACTAATACTACAATGATAATTGTTACTAAGTAATCATAATAATTACAATAAACCCCTTGACAACAAGTTGCACTGTATTTCTATGATCTGAATAAATAAAGATATCTATGGATTATTAAACATTTAAAATCTTACCTTCCATATTATCATAATCATTAACTTAGAGATTAAACAATATTTACAATCCATGAAAAGTTTACTAAAATATCCTTTTAGTTTCTATGTGAAAAAATAAAAAAAAGAAGAAAGAAACACAATATATATATATATTTTAAATAATACTTATTAAAATGATAAATCAATATTGGATACCAAAAATATATCAGGATCTTGATTTATTAAAATAAAAAAAAATAAATAAAAGAAACTAAATCAATAAATAAAGTTATTATTATTATCAGTAGTATCTTTATTATTACACTATTAAATGAATGATTACATATTTTAATGATGAATGGACTCTATACAAACTTTCAATGTATACTACTTATTTTTTTTCTTTTGTGGATCTTAAAGATTGATTAATCGACATTTGTAATTATATCTTGTTCCAAGTTTTCGACTTGCGTACACACACACACACATATATATATATATACATATATACATATATACACGTACACACAGTAATATCTATTACTTTTTTTCGATTGGATTTATTAATTATTAGCCTCTAAAACGACCAGCATCTCAATGCTTGGTCGTTTGATGTGGCGATGACCCGAGGTAAGAAAAAAAATAATAATTCAAAAAATTTCTTATTTGATTATATATATTTTTTGATAGTGTAATAACAAGATGAAGATTATCAGAAGTAATGTAATGATATATTAGCGCAATACATTTCGAACAATCTGATCACATATATACATGTGTAGAAGGTTGCAGAAACAAATACAATCAAACGACCTGATAATATTAGAGGATAAACATCCATCATCCTCTATTGACAAACATATAATCGAAACAGGTTATAAGATTGATCTTAACTTGGCTTTTGTGGTGTTGTATAAAAGTGTAAAATGGCATATACTAAGGTTTATTGAAGCCTTAGCCATACGAAAATTCAAACCCCTCTTTGTGTATTCAAAAACAGTTTGTTCTCACCTTAAACCTGTAATCTTGAGGGAACTGATGCTTCCTGGCGGATTCGATCCAGTGTCACTCAGCTTCACAGTCAGAAACCTACTCTGGTAATATTAGCTTATTATCCAGAATGATTAGGTTTCGAATTGTTTTCACATTATTATTATTATTATTATTATTATTATTACTATTATTATTAATATCCTTGTCTCCTCTTAGCCCCTAATTCCAGTCTAGTTGACCTTTTATTTTCAACATATAAATGTTCTTAACGAGTATATGTATGATCAGATTATTTGAAATGTATTGCGCTAATATCTCATCACATATTTCTGATAATCTTCACCTTCTTACTACACTATCGAAATCTATCAAAGGGACTAATTGCTTTATATATTTTTTGTTTTTAATGAAGGATATTTTGTGAATAATCATCAATTATTAAATATATATATATGTATTTAGTTGTTGGCTAAATAATGAATATTTTCCTCTAATGGTGTGGTTGATATGGATTGTATAAAAATAGGGGTACTTGTAATCTTCAAGGTCGGGTTCTAAATTAATTTTTTAGATAAAGCAATTCATTCGTGTGTATTATAGATTCAACTTAATATTGTTTGTTTGAATCTTCCCATTTATGTTTTTAGGACTACGACTGGTTAGTCTCTGATTGGCATATGTGCATATTGTGCGTATTGCCTCGATATAGCCTAAATTCACAAGCATTGTAAGGAAAGATGGATAGTGGCTGGCAGTGGAATCCAGTTTGACATGCGTTTCGTCCTATTTGGGACTCGTCAACTGGATGTATTATGTTTTGTTTTTTATTCGATTTATTAAAACTATAGAGTAAAACTAAGTTAAATTAGCATATTATATTTTAATATCTTGAAAAAATACAGTTTCTTATTCCAAGTGAATGATGTCAGTCAGTTGGTAACTACTAATATCTCGATATAGTCAGTAGAAGTTTCATGGCTTTCATCATCATCATCATCATCATCATCATCATCATCATCATCATCATCATCATCATCATCATCATCATCATCATCATCATCATCATCATCATCATCATCATCATCATCATCATCATCATCATCATCATCATCATCATCATCATCATCATCATCATCATCATCATCATCATCATCATCATCATCATCATCATCATCATCATCATCATCATCATCATCATCATCATCATCATCATCATCATTATGCTACTGTAAATTACTCGTGATTATAACAACTGTATGTGAAGTTTTTCGTAATTTAGTACATATTCAAGTATTTTAATAAGATAAAAACACTCCATCTTTTCATCAAAGAAACTACTAATGTAATGTCCTAATGAAAATTTGTAGCCAAGGCATAAAAATTCAAGAATTTGAATATGCTGTTAACTTGAGATGATTAATGTTTTTATGAAAATCATTAAATTAGGTAAATTAAAACTCTTGACTTGTTATATATATATGAAATAGACATTTGAAAAAACTCACTCAACAAACAGTATTGTTAAGTATAGTTTAGATCGACTAGTGAATTTAACTATGAAAATACTACAATCTCTACAAATCCCCATACTGATATTCATTATGTGCTCACTACTGACCAGCTTCAAGATAGATTTTTTGGAGTTCCAGTGAGAAACTGTGACTAATGGAGTTCATTCGTTTCGGGTGTGAGACAGTTTTCCACCTCAGACAATGGATGAAAACTTGCTTAAGATCATCGATTGGTTGAAGTTAGACAGTAACACCGTTGGATGCCAGCTCAGTAGTCGGCATGCAAAGTATTTGATCACATGATCGAAGGTTTTGAGTTTGAGTTTTGTATGTAGGATCGTAGATGTGCACTATTGGAGAATCCCATACTAGGACAAAATGGCCGTCCAATACTTCCAGGTTAAAGCTCGAGGTCACCAAGCCAGCATCCAAAGGTGTAAATGTCTAACTTCAACCAATCCACGATGTTGCAGACCATACTTTATTGACTTTGGTGAGTAACTGCCTTACACCTGACATGGTTGAACTAAACTGGTCACGGCTTATCACTAGATCTCAGTTAATTACCTCTCGAACCTAGTCAGTAGTAAAAACATAATATTTGTCAGTATCTTGAGAGCGAGGCCGAAGTTCCTGAGCTCGAGTCACGCGAGCGAGACCGTGTATGAGTACTGCTGAGGAATCGCATACTACCAAATTAAATTGACGAGTTCATGGTCTCAATTAAAACTCGAAAATTTCTACAACACCATACTGTGTAATGATTCATCAGAAATCTCTTATTACACAGACTTACGCACATTAATAGATAAATAGATAGATAGTCGAATTGATTATTATTGGTCAGTTTAAATAACAAAACCGTAGATTTTTGTGTTTCCGATATGTTTACAACTGATCATAGCTGATCACAGCTGATCATAGTACTACAGATAATAATATCGGCTATTATATATATATATATATATATATATATATCTGAGCGCGATCTCAAAGATCCTGCCCATAATAATGTGTTTTTGGTTATTGCACACAGTTCCTGATTATTTAAAAAAAACAGTGGAGTAAAGCTTATAAGAACTTATAGCTAATGAGAATTCGTTTAATTGTTTTAATATCATAAGAATGTATTAAGCTTTCAAAGACAATATTTACAACAACAAATATGGTGTCATATTTTGACGAATATCTTGAAATATTCATTAAAAGGAAATGATACTCAGTTTTGATATTCTCTTTTCACAGTGAGAAAACGATTTCGGTATTTTTGAATATAAAGGAAGGTACTAACAATTTAGCAGGTTAATATAATAATATTGGTATTACTACTAATACAAATTAATGTTACTTATTCATTACGTATAATTTTAAGTCACATTTTAACTGCGAAGTCTGTTAATAGCACCCAGTTACCTAAATCAAATGAAATGGACAATGGGATTCAAACCTATAGACTATTGATTGAAAACCAAGGTTAATAATCATTTAATTATCATCAGACTATATGAGTGATCACCCTTCTGGATTATTTTTCGTGAATTCCCCATTTTTACATAATATTTGGTAGAGTATGAGGAGAACGCCTAAAGTAATGACAAAAATGAAGCAAATAAATGTGTTAATCACTTCACTTATCTTAGAAGACGTGTCAGTCCTAATGGGTTGGTTTCTGACAAAATCTTCACATAAATGCAGAAAGTTCGACTAACCCTTGGGAATTTGCAATAGTCTACTAACTAGCAGCAGTTTTCTCCGTTCTACTTAGTGGGCGTGAACTATCAAAACTAAGAATATATTATATTCGTAGATCAGTCTTACTCAATTACGGGTGTCTTGGAAACATCGCTACTGTATTTTGGGATCAGCAATTTAACGATTCTAAGGTTTAGACACATGAAACTGGGTAAAGATGGTAAACTGACTGAGGAAGTAGTGGATATTTGTCAGTTGAGATGAATGGGATACATATTATGCGTGACCAGCCACCAAATACCTCAATGTGCGATGTTTGCTGGAATAGGATCGGGCCAGAACAAAGTCAGGGATGATCAAACTAAGACATAGCACAAGTCCATTATTTCATTGATTAGTGAACTAACAAATGTAGCTAAGCGTAGACTGTCTGGTTAGGGTCAAAATATTTAACAAAACCAATGATTAAAGAATTTGAGTGACGTAGTTAAGAATCGACAACAATGATTTAGGTGTATTCACTTTTTGTCGTCTATTAGAACCTTAATCACAAAATATCCTAATACCTTGTTTTTTCCTTTCTCATATTTAATTTTTTCCTCTCTTACTAATACTGCTACTACTTCTACCAACTAATCTAGGATTTGTCTTGAAACAATTTTATCTAGTAGTATGTAGTATGGAAACGTGAACCGATGTATATATGTGTTAGATTTTACATTGAATATGATTGATTAACTAACTCAGTGGTATTATGGTATGCGCTACTGATGGCGATAGATATAAGTAGTTTATATCATCAATCAAAAGTGAAATACGTGGCAACAGAAGGTTGAGAAGATTGAAGTGAAAAGAACGTGAATAAAGAGTGATTTATATAGAAATGAAGGAACAATAAAATCTTAGACGATTGATGAATCCTTTTTGAATGAATCGAATGATGATTTATTTACTTTATAGTTCTCAAATTTTACCATGATATTTTGTAATGTACCAAAATATATTTGGTTGTTACCGGTTGTATTTTTGTTCACTGGAGCATAAACATTCACCTCGTTTCAATAATCTGAAAAAATTTATTCATAGCAAGTTAATTTATTTGAAAATATAATAACCATTGAAATAATATAATTCGGGTTAAAATTTCGATTCAAAAGTATCGATTCCCTTTGTTGAAAAACAAAGATCATTATGTCATTGAAAGTAATTTATCAAAACTTTATTTTGCATTCGTTCATCTTAATTTGATAGTTTTCTTGACTTAAATGGTTTGAATAATTTTTTCTGGTTAGCGTTTTTTTTAGCGAGTTGGTTTTCTATGGGATAGAGGCACTCACCTCATGCCCAACCATCCTCCTTTATCTGGGCTTGGGACCGGCAGTAGCCCCCGGAGGAGCTACAGGAGGAGTTTTTTTGACTTACACTATATAATAT